TCAAATATGTTTCTAACCTTTTTAAGAATCGTAAAATGGTCCATAAATTATCCGGCAGGTGTTCTCGAGTATCCGACTCAAAACATGTCTAAAACCCAAAAACATAAAGAAGTTGATGTTTCCGTACTACACATGACATAATCATATATTAAATTTAGGCTGAGTTGGAAAAATCGGGTTTAACCATGTAAAACTAATTTTCTATATTATAAAATTTAATTTTTATTCCCTTGAGTCTTGACACTAAAATTTTATTGTGGAGAAAAAAAATTTTAAATTGGTATCTATAATATGATGCTTAATGATGATACTTTTTTTTTTTTAAATTATTAATTAATGAAATTGTTTATTGGGCCAATACCATATTTATTTGGGCTACCTTGGTTGAGCCTCTAAAGTCTAAACAATCTTACGATTTCGTTTCAATTAAAGTGAATTTTGAATGTCACATGTTACGTCGTCGTTTCGGATTGAATGTCTTGTTTGCTCTTGTATGAAGTTAAACCAATAATTATTTAAAAATCGATTAATGCCTCGTTTGCTTAGTTCTACTAAATTTTATTAACTAAATAATTGGGGCAAGTAAGATGTTTGGTTGATAGAATTCGTATTTTGTCAAGCTCCCTATTATACTTAAAGTCTGCAGTTAAATGATACAATTTGGTTAAATTAGTAACACCCCTCTCTAAGCAATTAATTTTGTCGGGACGATTAAAAAAAGAAAATATAGTTTTATCATTTAAAATAATATCTTAATTTTGTTAATCAAAAGATTTTTTAGACATTTTATATTCAATACATAATTTAATAAATTTAATACATGATATAATCTAAGGAATCAAACATCTTACTGACTGAATAATTAGTAAGTTAGTAAGATATTAATCTAATCTCACTTAATCCAGGCCTCGTTTGCTTAATGATATTAAGCTCTATTAACTAAATAGTAGGGGTTAGTAAGATGTTTGGTTGATGCGATTCGTATTTAGTCTAGTCTGCAATTAAATGCTATTTATTTGGTTAAATTATTAGCACCCTTCCCCTGATCAATTTAGTATAGGGTAATTAAAGGAGAAAAATACAATTTTATCCTCAAAACAATATCTCAATATCTTAATTTTAGGCCTAATTTTACAATACACAATTAATACCAGTATTTAACAAATTTAATACAAGATTTAATCTAACGAATCAACCATCTTGTTTTAGGCCTGATATTAATCCAATCTCACATAATTCAATGTAATTCGATATAGGTAAGCAAACGAGGCTTAAAATCTGATCCTTTGACAAGATACCTTATAATAGGAGCAAGACAATGAAATGAAGTCACGGGATTGATTGATAATAGTGTAATGTAGGATAAGATTCATGATTAGGCCGGATTGTTTCTTGGTCAAATATAGCCTATTCCTACATTGCCTTTTCTTATGGGAACCAAGAAATTTCTTTCCTTTTTAGGTAAGTTTTATCGGATTTGGATTGAATGATCTAAATATTTTTACATGTAATTTCATTAGCACCAAAAATAGCGGATTCATTTTTCGATTAAAATCTATCGTTCTTTATTTCTAAAAATATTAATGCATCGTTATTGGCCTATAACTCATCTACCATGGAAAGTTATAAATCCGATTTGATATATTATGTTGCTTTTATTGAGATAGCGAGGATAAATTATTAAATTTACATGCAGTTGATCGTTATAGACAATCTCTATGTACATGATAATACATTTCTCAATATAAATATTCGAAAATTTTCTGTAATCTCTGTACACAATTCATAACTTCCAAGCAATATTTTGAATTCTCTGAATTGTTTTCATCATATAGTGCTGACTTCAGCATCGAAGGATTTTTTGTGACGGTCGTACAAAAATCTCCCTTAAAATTTAACATTTTCCTAAAATATGGAACTATACTCCTAAAAAAATATTAAATTGTTGAATGATATTCCATACAAATTAAATTAGGTCATGTCATTTCCTATTGAAATAGACAGGCCTAAAACAAGACTATGACTCAGCAAGCAGCTAATATTTGGGGAAAAAGTGATTTTAGGTTTAATGTTTGGCACAAAATTATATAGGAATAGGACTTTCAATTCACACAATGTTTAGTCAATGTATATATTGGATGTAGGTAGGAAAGTTTAGACTTTGTTTCATTGTTCAAGATCTAAATCATGTTAATAAAAAAAAACTATGTTATCATGTTCACCGGTCTACTTGACAAAATAAGTGCAGTGTAATATTTAACGATTCAAATTCGATCTCATTTTCTGTTACTTTCTAATTGGATTTCTTTACTAATACATGACTTGTTCAGTGAGGTTTATACATCTAGGCCCTGTTTGGTACGGCAAGATAAGATTAGTCAAGATAAGATTAAATAATCTAATGAAACTCAATTATTTTATAGGAACTTGTAATGTCCAACAAAAAAAACTCATTAGAAGGCAAGATAAGTCCAAGATAAGACAAGATAAGTGATGATTATATAATTTTGACGGGTCGACCCGACAATTTATTGGAGATACCAAACATTAAATTAAGTCCAACTATTTAGTTAATCATAGCATAATCTTAGCAACCAAACGAGGTCCTAATGTAATTTGTGAGAGAGTACAGAGTTTATCTAATAGACATATGTGAGGCGAATCTACGCGTGAAAAAAAAAAAGTTATGTCCAAGATCTAGAAACATAGTGCACATATCATGATGAGTTGATACAAATTATTTAACTTGATCTGTAACACATAGATATATCGAATTTAAAATCTTAAATCGTCCCATAAATATAAAAGTTAGGTTCGGGTCAATTCTAACTTCAATACTCCTTTTACATTATCAATGTAGTGCAAAATCTACTTCCTCACGATCATCAATGTGCAACTTATAAATTGCTTACATTGTCCTTTCTTTGTTCGAAGATATCGTCTATTTCGTGAAATGATATATACTCGATATAATTATCTCAAAGCTGAATTAATTCAACCGTACATCTACATATAATTACTTACATGCACCCATATGTATCTGTGCTTAGTAGATAATTATTTAATCAGATGAAATTGATTAAGTGTAAATAACCAGTTGTACTATATAACTCCCATCGCTCTATACTATGAAGTAGAATAAAATATAAACATTAAAGAATATTTCTATATAGAGTATATAAATTGAGTGCACTAACACGTCATGTATTAATTAAGCACTACGAATAATTCTATATTGAAAAACACATTACATCGTTTATATGTTAATTAATCCTTTCATTTTTATTTTTTATTTTTGCTTTTTTCATTCTTTGTACATGAACCTCTTCAATTATTGATGTTGTCTTCCACTCTCAAATTATCAATAATGATCTATGTATATAATATATATATATATATATATATATATATATATATATATATATATATATATATATATATATATATATATATAAATATATATATATATAAATAAACATATCTAATATTAGCAATTTAGGATTATAATTCCAACATGAATATTATCTTTGAATGAAATTAATCCCCGCCAATTATTCAAAATAAAATTATTATATATTTTCTTATTCATTGAATACTAAAATTTTGATCCCTCAACTTATAATTTAAAGCAACTTATTTATTTTATAAAAATTAAAAGCAAAAACTGTATTTGCAAACTCAAAATAAAATTACAAGGCACAAAAATCTTATAATATATTTTCAATGGCATCTGCAAACACCACCTTGCGATTAAAATTGAATTGGATATTAGAATCTAACATGTATTCCAATTCCGTCCTTAAAAAAATAATAGAAATCGAAGCTTTTAAAATATCACTACAAAAAAAAGTATTTTATGTGACAATTTCGTGTGACGAAAAATAATTTCTTTCAAAAAAATCTTCTTTCAAAATCGGAAATATTTCGTATTTCTTATCCATACATGGATAAAAAATCTTCTTTCAAAATCGAAAATATTTGAATTAGAACCGGCGAGATTTTAAAATTTCGTTCTAATTTCAACCCCTATACACGATAACATAGTCTTATGATTATCTTATGTTTGAAATTTGTACACAATCCTTGAATTTTGTAATATTTATAATCTATTGTTTGAATGTAAGGATTAAATTCAATTGTTTATAAAATATTCAAAATACCCAAGTTTTTGCACTGGTTGATATCATTACTTTTAAAAGGGCACCCGTGATAATTTAATTTAAAATATCAAAAGTAAAATTATGATCCTTGTAGTCACCTGGGTTATGTTCAAACTAAATATTATTTATATTGTTTATTAGGGTAAATTATACCTACATCACGAGGTTTGTTAAAATAATTTTAAGGTCCCTATAGTATAAGTATTTACAATCAGACCCCTAAAACAATTACTGAAGCCAAGATTTCATGGCTTGGCGACCAATATGCACTATATTTGTTTCCCGCGGGGTCGTTAATGCTACCATATAAAATTATAAAAAAATAAGAAATGTTAGGAGAGTCGGTTCATCCCCTAACTCTATGTTGTCTCCACCACTGCCTGAAACTAATAGTCAATTCGATCCCTAATGGAATAATTTATCCAAATTATTTCATTAGACTTTCTAACAATGTTTCAGGGTGATAATTGTAATTATCAATACTATAAGGACCTTAATGTTATTTTTAGCATACTCCAGGGGTGTAGATGTAATTTACCCTTTTTATTATTATTCGGGTCAATTTTAAATCATGGGTTTGTAATGTGAAATACAAATTAATTTGATGTTACACTTGGTGAAATACATCGAGCGATTATTAACCAATGATCTGCACATAATTACATACTCAACCATATGGATGGATGCTTAATTGGAAGTTATTTCACCACAACAACATTTAAAAATCATCTGATGTATTTTTTCTGATGTGGTATCTCAATGAACGCAAAATACATACTATTACTACACAATTTGATTAGCTCATTCGCATTGACAAATCAATCATAATTTCAAATCCATTGGTTAATGGTGGAATATACTTTATATTATTGATTGACGTACCAAGAAAAATGACATTTTCCTCAAATCAACACTATTTTCCCAAAGTAACCAATCAAAAGCAAAACAAATGAAAATAGAACTCTAGTAATAAATAGAACAATTTGCATGACCCTCCAACCAATCTTGAATAGCAAATTAAATAATGGCCCATCTTACTATAATTAATATTTCCATCACCTTTCACTTTACACCTTCCAAACTCATTTCTCCCCATCTCTATTTAAATACACACTTCTCCATGCATTTTTTTCTTCCCAAACAAATTTAAAAAAAAATGTGGCAAAATATTGATCAAACTTGTACCTCAAGCAATGGTTCTTCATTAGAAGAAGCAAGTAATTGTAACAATAATTTCCTATACTCCAATCCCACCTTCCCTTCAATCCCTTCTATCGAATCGCCGCCAACGCCGCCACACGTCCTCCGCGCCAACCACCAATGCGTGGCGACCATCTCCTGCCAAACCCCCTACACCTCCTCCCTAGCCCTCTTCGGAAAATTATTGTTTGCCGGCTCGGCCGACAAGGAAATCCGACTATTGAATCTCGATCTTATAATAAATCCCATATCGAATTTTGAAAATTCGAATACTCATAATTATTATACGGTAATGTCCGGAAAAGGTGCAATTAAAGCAATTGTGGTTTCGTCTGACCAAAAACTCGTCACCGCGCATCAAGACCACAAAATCCGAGTGTGGAAAATCATCGACCGCGACAAAAAAATCGAACACTTGGCCACACTACCAACACTTACCGACCGTGCAATAAAAGTCTTGACTCCGAAAAACCACGTTAAAGTGAGGAGGCACAAGAAACTCACGTGGGTCCACCACGCCGACGCAATTTCGTCGCTAAAATTATCCGCCGACGGATCTCTCCTCTACTCCGCCTCGTGGGATCGGACGGTCAAGATCTGGCGTACCTCCGATTTCAAATGCATGGAGTCGATATCCGACGCGCACGATGACGCGATCAATGCAGTCGCGGTGTCGTACGACGGGCGCATCTACACCGGATCATCCGACAAGAAAATCAAAGTGTGGAGGAAGCAACTAAACGAAAAAACACATTCTTTAATCGACACATTGGAGAAACACACTTCCGGGATTAACGCATTGGCTTTAAGTGTAGACGGGGAGGTTTTGTACTCGGGGGCATCCGATAGGTCGATACTCGTCTGGATGAACGAAGGGGGCCAAATGGGGGCGGTGGGGGCGCTTAGGGGCCACAAAAAGTCGATATTGTGTTTGGCGATTGTGTCGGATTTGGTGTGCAGCGGTTCGGCGGATAAAACGGTTAGGGTTTGGAGAGGTGTGGGGAGCTTGTACAGCTGCTTAGCGGTTCTTGATTTGCATAAAGGGCCTGTTAAGTGTATTAGTGTGGGGATTGATGAATGTAATTCTAATCCATCTGATTTGGGATTAAGTTATCTAGTGTGCAGTGCTAGCCTTGATTGTGATATCAAGGTTTGGAGGATTGTTAATCCCACTATTTGAGTGTAATTTTAAGTTTTTTTTAGTAGGAAAAGCACTTTTGTAATCCTCTCTCTCTCTCTCAGAAGTGGTTTCCAAATTGGAAAAGGAAGGTAGCCAACTAACTATAAATTATCAACCCAAACAACTTAATTAGAATAAACAAATCTAAAATAATAGAAAGCACCAATAATTAAATGAATGTTTTATGTACTCATCATTAATCATAAAGTAAAGTATGAACCTTTTAAATGAATAGTGCAAGATTTGCTGATATGAGCCATTCACACAGACTGTAAAGAAACTACATTAGAAAAAAGTTGTTGATTACAATACAATGTTTTTAGTAAAAATAAATAAATAAAGGAATTTCATACAAATGCAAGTTGTACTAATAATGGAATGCAGATTTTAGCTAGGATTAATCTTTTTTCAAAAGCCATAGATGAAATGGGGTTGATGGACTATACTTTATGCATACTTTAATTTATGGGACAATTTGCTAAACATCTCTAGGCGCACTGATACTCTTTCAAATCGTTACAAATTAACCAACTTTTGAAATTTGCTAAAAGTCTTTTATTATTTCACACTTGTCGTTCTCCGTCAAATTCCTTTCAATCTGGCTACACTTGGTCAAATCTGCTCCAACTCTGCTCTCTGATACTGCCATCATCGAAGTTTTGTCACACAACCACACACACTCTTACATAATCCACTCCACGTAGTTCTCTCTTTTTTCTCCTTCTCACGTCTCTCTCTCTCCTCCCTCTCACCTATCTCTCTCCTATCTCTCCCACAAATTATAAATTTAACATTATAATGCAAATTATAATTTTCAACACCAAAAAGGGGTATATATATAAGCAAGTTGTACTAATGATGCAATTAAATTTTAGGGCAAATATAGTCGTATATGTGACCATATAATCAACAGTTCCACAAATATTGTGTATGGAATGGCATCAAAGAAAATAATACAACTTCAATGAAAATAAGTGTCCACATTTATTTTAGATGTGCAAATTTATATATATCCAATATTGTAGAAAATATAGTTTTCTGCACATAAATTAAATATGTATACCAAATTGTTATCATATATATATATATATATATATATATATATATATGTGTGTGTTAAATCTGAATTGGTTTGAAGGAATTGAGTACGAAAGGATTTTTTTCAACGTTGTAAAGTAAACAAATGCCTCGTAGTTTTTTGGATGGATGGCAATGCCATTATTTGCCTCTATCACCAACTTCACATTCCAGCCGTTCACTATTTGTATTTTTCCGCGAACCAAACGCACGAAATGCAAGTTTGTATGAGCCCTTTTATTATGCGTCTTCAATGCAAGTTTTGCTGCGTTCACAAACTAGGGATCGCTTAGGTTCTTGATCGGAGACCAACCACCGTACCGACTACAACAACATCATGTTTATAACTACGAATCGGAACTATCAAAATACATACTAGTAATACTTGTCGAAGCAAGATAACTCCGTGTGCCATTTTCTTTCGGTAGATTGCGAGACAGAAACTCTACAATTTATACATGTAAAAGTTTGTTAAAATGAAAATAGGTATTTAATACAAGTATCTTAAAAATTAATCACAGAATAAATTTGTTGTTATCTCCGAAGCAAAATGGTCTTTGAGATAATGGAAAGCACCTTAATTATTAACGCAAACACCTTAATTAGAATAAACAAATCTAAAATAATGAAAAGCATCAATAGTTAATGTATGTTTTATGTACTCATCATTAATCATAAAGTAAGGTATGAACCTTTTAAATAATGAATAGTGCAAGATTTTCTTATAAAGTAGAGATGAGCCATTTATACAGAGTGCAAAGATATGATTTGGAATACCCAAAGAAACCACCAATATTAAAGAAAAGTAATTGATTACAATACAATTGTTTTAGTAAAAAATAAATAAATAAAGGAACATACTTTATATATTATACTCACTTTACAAATTTAATTAAGGCTGAGGAATTAAGTAAGAAGATTGAAAGAAATCTAAATTACGAGAAAGCCCCTGAACTAAGATTAATTTACAAAAAGACCCCTCACCTATCCATAATTATAAAAAACCCCCATAAAATTTTTGGCGTAGTACATTGTCCCCCGTCAAATTTGATGGGAATCTTTTTGATTCCATAAAATATTCTAAAAATACCAATTATACCCTCATGGGGTAGGTGTATATTATTTCACGAGGGGGTGATGGTACTTTACTTATGAAATATGGCTACGTATGAGGAGTTTTTATAGAATGTTTATCATTTAAGAGATTGGTAATTATCATCTTATAGAGTGTTTGACCGTATTAGGGATGTAGTATAAATGTATAATATTTTGATTCAGTACATCTACCCATCCATTTTTCACTTATTTTGTTTCTATGTTTACCCTAATAGTTCAAAATTAGTGGGTTAATTTTTGGTCAGAAATAGCACGTTCGAAAAAAAATAACAATTCTTTTCAGAAGTGAATACACTAATTCATCTCCGTTCCAAAAAAAGATAAATTAGAAACCGAATTTTTTTTATTATAACCAACAAGATTCGGTAATTATGTTTTTTTAAATTCACCTATAATATAAAATAGGATAAATTACACCTACACCCCTGTGGTATGCTAAAATAATATTAAGGTCCCTATGGTATTGGTAATTACAGTCGCACCCCTAAAACAATTACCAAAGCCAAGATTTAATGTCCTGGGGAACCAATGTGCACTATATTTATTTTTCGTGGGGCTAGACGAAAATTTATAAATCTTATATAAAATAATAAGGATATAAGAAATGTTGGGGGAGCCATGTCACCCCTAACTCTACAGTTGTCCCCGTCATTGCCTGAAACTAATAGCCCCTTAGAACCCTAACGAAATAACTTATCCAATGCATTATTTTGTTAGGATTTCTAACTATGTTTCGGGGATGAACATATATAAGATTTTATTTAAATATAAATTATTTTTATATATTTTTATACAGACATATTCAAAATAAGTTTTACCATCAACTATCAATTTGCAATTGATCATTAAATCATGTAAATAATTTGGGAAACAACAAAAATATTTAAAAATTTTGCTATTCAAACATGTTTCTAACTTTTTAGAAATTGCGAAATGACCCATGAGGTGTCCGGCATGTGACTTCGAGTTTCTTATACGAAACGTTTCTGAACGAAAACGTTAACAAGTTGAAGTTTTTGTGCTACATAGATGCACGTGCAATGCACGAACAATGCACGTGAGAGAAATCAATTTGTTCGTCGAGATTTTGTTTATCCCTTCGACTACCGCCACAACGGAGAAGGCCCAATAGATACCATGTGTATTAATGAATCACATTACAGCATGAAACAAACCAATTATATTAAGATGATATAAACTTACCACATGTGGATGATTGATCATTTATTAGAGGAGTCACAACACCATTGACTTTCCAATCGACATCTGACGGCGTATTGTGACATCATCCTCAATTGATGGTTCCCTCGTGCAACTGTATACTTTTCGGAGTTGCAGAGGCCAAATAAACTTAAGTGTCTATATTTGTTTCGCACACGAATTCTCATGATCAATACAAACACACACAACAGTATAATACAACAAACGAATAACCAAACTAAATTCGAGCATTCACATCATAGGGGCATCTTCGATGGAGTACCGGGAGCACGAAGATATTTTCTAGGGGTTGGACTGTTTTTTAGGCATATTATTGTTGTTCTTTGTCCATATTTGCTATGTGATTCCACTACATTGAAACGCAATAGATTGTTAGAAAAAATGAAAAGAAAATAGACAACACAATAAATAATAAAATTTAATTTTGGGGGTAGTTACAGTCGGCGAACAAGATACATACCGAAACATGCTTGCAAGAGAGAATCACCCATCAAATGAATAGCCCTTCCAGCTTTTGCAACTTCCTCCTGAAAAAGAAAAATGGTGTATATAAAGTCAACACACAGTATGTATATGTATATATAGTCACCATAACCCCCACATGGATACATATTAAGTCACTTATTCACAGAGAATTAAGTGAGAAAAAAAAAAAAAAGATATGAAGATAGTAGTGTTAATATGTTTGGTCATGTGGGGAGGGGGTTTAGCGGGGGGTTTTACTTTTAACTATAATGCAATAGAGTTAGAAATTGAGGAGTCGTTTTTCATGATTTATGAGAGATGACTAAAAGACTATTCTGTTGAGAGAACCCCGATGAGAAAAAAATTAGGTTTGAGGCATTCAAAACGAATGTGCTCTATGTTGATGAATTCAACCGAAAAGGGAATCAACCGTACGCCATTGCAATCAACCACTTCGCATACACTAAATCGTCTGAATTTGGCAAATACTGTTGCGCGAGGTTACCATCCACTGGCGATGATGTCGCATATATGCAGCGTTACAATACAACTCTCATGTCCCAAAAAGTTCTGTTGCAAGTTGATTGGAAAGCCAATGGTGCGGTAACTCCTGTAAAGAACCAATTTCATTACGGTATATTGACTTTATTTTATCATTTTGTTTCGTATTTGTCTCCTAAATTGAAAATTTAATTTGCTTGACTGAATTCATTATTTGTATGCATGTAGTTTTTGGGCTTTTGCTGCTGTAGCGGCAGTAGAATGAATCAATAAAATTCGGACGAACCGACTGAGAGGAGCAAGAACTCGGGGATTGCGATAAAGGGCAACATGGGCTGCAAAAATGGGTTGCCCTATGAAGCATTTCAGTTTGTGAAGAGATACGGCCTCACGACAGAGGACAACTATCTGGGCAATGACTATGGCAAATGTAATACGACGAAGGTAAAATATATCACTTATTCTTTTTAGTTATTTTTCTCTCTCAAGTACTTTAAGCATGTGATTGGTTGTATTTGCAGAAAAATGCTTCTACTGTATGGATTGATGGATATCGAGGTGTTCCACCGAATAGAGAAGATCTGTTAATGAATGCAGTAGCAAAACAGCCCGTAACTGTTTTGATCGACTCACGCAGTAGGAAGTTTCAGATTCTACAAGAAGGTAAACATATCGGTTACAATATGCTTAGTTCACGAAGATGTCATTTAATTTATCACCAAGGGAAAAAGAAAATCCAAAGAAAAGAAAACCGAAAGCAACAACCAAAACAGATCCTCCATCCAAAAATTGTTAAACCATTATTTTTATGCTACATCTGGTAAAAAAATTACTGAGTTAATTTTATCCGTTGATTTACACACATCAATGTAGGTGTGGGTGTTTGCATGTTTA